GGACATTTCCAATTTTTGGTTTATATATAGACGTTTCCTTAATTCGCTTGGATGAGCACGAAACAATGGTTTGAGTTCGAGGCTGGCCCTCATAGACAAAACATTCAAGTTCAGTCTCGGCTTGAAACAAGGGAGCACAGCAAAATGTTATTTATTACCTTTTTAAATCGTTTTTTTAATCCGTTGGTTCGATCGAGTTAATTCGCTACCGCCATTTTGTTTTTAAATATGTTTTTCCGCTGACCCATAAGAACGATGTGGGGCGAGTCGTTTTCCGAACGAGACCCGAAGGGGCTAGAAGTCCCGGGGAGTGCAACCGTTGGAGGCGTGACTTCTCTCAGCCAATAAAAACCGACAACAGGTCAGAATGTGGAGGTATGTCGGAGGTGTGTCTTCGCACGATGCTGGTAATGCTTGCCATAGCAACAGACGAAAGTAATCGATCTGTTTTATGCGATATCTAGCTCGAAGAGTTTGTCAAGTGCGAAGTGTTGAGAGGATGCGAACTACAAATATATGGCGAAATTAAGTGAAAATCAAAGGAAAATCGAAAGAAGCATTGACAAAGCTTTTAGTATATTTATTTCTGGAAAGTTTGGCAGTGAAAAATCGTTTCTTTTACGACACATTATCAAGAAACTGAAGGAAACAGGCCAATTACGCTTTGTTATGGAAATCAAGGCAAGTCGACCGTGAGACTTTTTCTGAATTCATTTTCTCTCATTGTATCTGGAGATATCTTTGGTTGTATCTGATGTGGTCATTCTTACATCTTCAGATCTTCGTGAGCGCTGTTCCTAGCAATCTATTTGGCGCTGGACACGGCTGCATGATTTCTATGAGCTCCGTAAATTTTACTAGATTTTCTACCTTTTTATGTCTTATTACACTTTATTTTAATGTATTTAGCTTTTTAAACGTTTTATAGATACTTATTAGGAATTTTTTTACGATGCCGACCCCTCGATGGAGCTATTTTTATGACTTTGGAGTGATTACACAACAACATTGCTTGGCGCCATATTCAAATCTAAAGAAATCAACTTCAACAAGGATAACCTACTCTAGATTGGATCTTCTTGGCCTTAAAGGGAAATTTTATCTATCATCTGAAGCCTTTTCATCTTTAAAACATCTTAAGATTCTTAATACCCGTCGAAATCGAGCTGGTCGTCGCCACAAGAGACAAAGTCGAAACATCTCTCCGATTATTACTAACAGAAATAAGTCTTCTTCTAACGACAAACATCGACGTGGTGTAAATCAAAATAATCTTGTACTACCTCTACGAATTCCCTTTACTCCTGTCATCAGAAAAAAGGCAACTTTTTGTCTTCTAAATACAAGGTCAGTATGCAATAAAGCATTATTTATAAATGATTTTGTGAGTGATAATAATGTTGATGTTGTTTGTTTAACTGAAACATGGCTAAAATCTGATGATCAACACGTAATAAATGAACTTAAATCTTCTGGATACACTTTTAAACATATTCCTAGAGGTAGTAGAGGTGGTGGAGTTGGTTTTTTGTATAAAAAATCCTTAAAACTTAACCAAATGTCTCTAAATAAATACAAATCTTTCGAACTAATGGGCATGTCTCTTAATTCTTCGCCACAAATATCTATTTTCGTCTTATACAGACCACCTCCTTCTAAGCGCAATAAATTAACTGAGGTCATGTTTTTTGAGGAATTTTCTCTTTTCCTTGAGCAATTTTCTTCGAGATCTTGTTCTTTCCTACTAGTGGGTGATTTCAACTTTCATGTTGATGATGCCTCGGATTCATCTGCCAAAAAGTTTCTTAATCTA